AGATTTTTTGTTTGTTAGACAATTAGATTTCATTATGGCTTTTGTTATTATTTTATTTATATTCTTATATTACTATATTATAGAAGATTACTATATTATAGAAGAGTCTAGGAATGACTACCAATGATCCAATAAGATCACTATTAATGTCCAATATATTTATAAAATATATAAGTGGGCCCCACCATCTTCCACTTAAATACTACATATTATATATTATTAATTACTATACTATAAATCACTACTAATATCCAATATATTTATCAAACTATATAAGTGGGCCCCACCACCTTCCACTTAAATACTACATATTATATATTAATTACTATACTATAAATGACTTAAATACTCCATATTATCTATTACAATAATTAACAATTATTTGACACTTTAAATTCTATCAATGCCATATAAATTAGGATAAAAAACCTAACATATAATATTTAAATATATTTAAAAATAATATAAGTAATACTATACATTACAATAATTAACAGTTTAATTATTTAAAACTTATATAAAAAATTTAATTGACTCTCTAAATTCTATTGGTACCACATAAAATGGATTATATAATAAACATATATTGTTTGAAATTGACGAAAAAGAAACAATAAATTACAATAATTAATAAAAAAAAATCCACTCCAAAAAATCTATCAATTAACAACATATATTATTTGAAATTGATGAAAAAGAAACAATAAATTACAATAATTAACAAAATAAATCTCTCGACTCCAACAAATCTATCAATTAATGCCACATAAATTGGGACATGGCAAATAACATATATTATTAAAAAATTAGGTTCAAAATGTACTAAAAAATACAATAACTAACAACTTAATATATTAAAGAGACATATAAAAAAGGGTTAATATTTGAAATTCTGCATCTGCCACATAAATTAGAACAAAGAGAGTAATAAATATTATTTTCAAAATTATGTTAAAAAAAAGTACTACAAATCACAATAGCTAACAATTTAAAATATTTTTAAAATCATATAAAAATTTCAATAACTTCTCAAATTCCATAATATGACATAATTTTTTTAAAAAAAGTGTTATAAATCATAATAAATAGTACAATATTTAAACTACTTTAAAAGCATTATAAATTGTAATAAATAATACAACAATTTAAATTACTTAAAATTTAACGACTTAAAAATATTTTTTAAAATGTATTAAAATTTTGGTTAATTTTCAAAACTTTACATGTGCCACATAAATTGGGACATGGAGAGTCACACATATTTTTTTTAAAAAAACTACATTAAAAGTATTCTATCAATTAACAACATATATTGTTTGAAATTGATGAAAAAGAAACTATAAATTACAATAATTAACAAAATAAATCTCTCGACTCCAACAAATCTATCAATTAATGCCACATAAATTGGGACATGGCAAATAACATATATTATTAAAAAATTAGGTTCAAAATGTACTATAAAATACAATAATTAACAACTTAATATATTAAAGAGACATATAAAAAATGGTTAATATTTGAAATTCTGCCTGTGCCACATAAATTAGAACAAACAGAGTAATAAATATTATTTTCAAAATTATATAAAAAATAAGTACTACAAATCACAATAGCAAACAATTTAAAATATTTTTAAAATCATATAAAAATTTCAATAACTTCTCAAATTCCATAATATAACACTTAAATATTACATATTATATATTAATTACTATACTATAAATGACTTAAATACTCCATATTATCTATTACAATAATTAACAATTATTTGACACTTTAAATTCTATCAATGCCATATAAATTAGGATAAAAAACCTAACATATAATATTTAAATATATTTAAAAATAATATAAGTAATACTATACATTACAATAATTAACAGCTTAATTATTTAAAACTTATATAAAAAATTTAATTGACTCTCTAAATTCTATTGGTACCACATAAAATGGATTATAAGATAAACATTTATTGTTTGAAATTGACAAAAAAGAAACAATAAATTACAATAATTAATTAAAAAAAATAGTTGACGAAATTGACGAAAAACAAATTATAAATTACAATAATTAACAAAATAAATCTCTCGATTCCAACAAATCTATCAATTAATGCCACATAAATTGGGACATGGCAAATAACACATATTATTAAAAAATTAGGTTCAAAATGTACTATAAAATACAATAATTAACAGCTTACTATATTAAAGAGACATATAAAAAATGGTTAGTATTTGAAATTCTGCATCTGTCACATAAATTAGAACAAATAGAGTAATAAATATTATTTTCAAAATTATGTTAAAAAAAAGTACTACAAATCACAATAGCTAACAATTTAAAATATTTTTAAAATCATGTAAAAATTTCAATAACTTCTCAAATTCCATAATATGACATAAATTTTAAAAAAAAAAAGTGTCATAAATCATAATAAATAGTACAATATTTCAACTACTTTAAAAGTATTATAAATTGTAATAAATAATACAACAATTTAAATTACTTAAAATTTAATGACTTAAAAATATTTTTTAAAATGTATTAAAATTTTGGTTAATTGTCAAAACTTTACATGTGCCACATAAATTGGGACATGGAGAGTCACACATATTTTTTTTTAAAAATTACAATAAACGTATTCTATCAATTAACAACATATATTGTTTGAAATTGACGGAAAAAAAAACTATAAATTACAATAATTAACAAAATAAATCTCTTGACTCCAACAAATCTATCAATTAATGCCACATAAATTGGGACATGGCAAATAACATATACTATTAAAAAATTAGGTTCAAAATGTACTATAAAATACAATAATTAACAACTTAATATATTAAAGAGACATATAAAAATGGTTAATATTTGAAATTCTGTGTGTGCCATATAAATTAGAACAAACAGAGTAATAAATATTATTTTCAAAATTATGTTAAAAAAAAGTACTACAAATTACAATAACTAAAAATTTAAAATATTTTTAAAATCATATAAAAACTTCAATAACTTCTCAAATTCCATAATATGACATAAATTAAAATTAAAAAATAATATATATTGGGCCCCGTGCTGGCACGGGGTCCTGTATCTAGTATAATATACAATGTTGAAGACAAATGGTAAATATATATCTATAGAACTGTGTGATTCAAGCATGCTAAATGCAAAGTGAAAGGAACACTTTATTGTTGCAATCGTGACTACAAAATGAATCAATCAATTAATTAATGATAATCATATTTTAAATATAGATAACTCCCACGAAAATGAGCAACTAATAATGTTTATTTTTCTATAATAATAGTTCAAAGGTATTATATGAGGAGTCTTCAAAGCAAAAGGTAAAGATAGGAATTTTTTAAGGATCTTGATTCAACGATTAAAGTATTGTCCATTTTGAATATAAGCATTCACGAATTTGTCCTTTTGGTTTTAACCCAAAAAGAGTTTCAAATTGTTTTTTTAATTTTAATGTGCACCCCAACGTCACAAATCTACTCTTACTTATTTTGTAGTATTATTTTTTTCCATTTTAAAACTAAAATGTATCATTACAAGTGAGATGTTTCTCTCTAAGTGCTAATCCTTATCCTAATATTTTTGTATTAACTAAAACCAAAAACGCATTAAAAATTTATGCTATAAACCTTTCATGGCAAGGAGTAAAGCCTAATAATGTCTGCAGGGTTTCGTTTTTATAAGAAACTAACTTGAAGATATTTAATTTAGATTTAATTTAGGATCTTAAACTAGTAATTATCAAAAACTTTAGGCAAACCAATCCAGTTAAAGACTGGCCCGCTACCAACTACGAATTTGACCTTTAATTATGCTTTCCATTTACCTATATTATTAGAGATAATTAACTTGCACTTTTGATTCCATATCTATTACTCCTAATAAAAATTAAATTTTGATTCTTGTGATATTTTACTAAATTTATTTAATTTTAATTGATAAAAATGTGTTTATTTGGTTCTCTTAGTTAAAAAGTTATTTTATTCAGATTTAAATTTTTATAATCAGAATTATAATATGTATCCTCAAATATGGAGAATCTCACTTAGTTGGTTGACTACTTGAATTCTCACATTATTGGTGAGGGTTCGATTCCCTACATTATAATCCGCTTCATCTCCAAATTATTAAAAAAAAATCCTCAAATATGTTAAATTATTAGTTAATTAAAAATAGATTTAATATACTCAATTAAATATCAGAGGGATTAAAAACAAAAATAACAATATAATGATTAATTAAATGCTCAAATTCCCATTTTGTTTAATCATATGATTTTCCACGTCTTTTTCCCTTCTAAAGAGTCTTCTTTTAAACGATAATTGTGCAGTAGTGGTGACAGCAATTGTTGACCTGCAAATAGCAGCTTCGCTTTTACGTATTTACTCTCTCGTAAAACCGACACGTTTTAATTTAGCCTCTTTAACTAATTATTACGATTCCAAATTGGATAAGCCTTTCTCATTCTCTGTCTTCTTGCAGGATTAACTTTTCGTTTATTTTTACTTAGTCGTTTTAATATGACATTTTTTTGAATTTTAAAATTTAAATAAATTTATTTTTTTTATTGTAAATTTTATATTTAAATATTTTAAATTATCAATTATTAAAACTTATAATGAGTAGTTATTGGAAAGTTACCTACCTAATATATGACTGTTTCATCCTCCTACTTTGTGTAAGGATTATACTCCCTCTGTCCCAATGTGACATATTTCTATATATTAAATAATAATTTAGCTATAAAATATTTATTTTATCCTTAATGAAATAATTTATAGTCATACAAATTTCTATTGTTCATTTTGGACCAAAAATTTTAAAACTCTTTTTTTTTTCTTAAATTTCGTATCGAGTCAAACTATCTCACATAAAATGAAACCTAAACTGCCAAACTAACTACTACTCATTGCTAAACCCCTATATAAACAAACCCCTCTGTCTCTCTCAAACACTCTGCAAAAAAAAATTATTTACAGATAGATATATGCGTTACAATATTGAAAACAACGCCTCTGTTTTTATATAGATAGATCATGAGCAACATACCAAAATCTTTAACAGATTCTTCTTTTACTCTTTTCAAATTAGCCATCTCTTCTTCTGATCCTTGGCCTTTCTCTCTTCCAATTTCTTCCATCTAACACCCCTCAAAATCTCTCTCAATTGTACAGTCTTTTCTCTCAATTTCTTGTTTTTTACTTCAAATCTTGATAAAAACAGAGATGGGTACTGGAGAAAAACACCATCTGAGTTTCCATTTTCATGTTCCACACATTAACTTCCATCATCATCATAATCATGGGAAGAAGGAATTAAAGAATATACCAAAAGGGTGTCTTGCAGTTATAGTGGGTCAAGGTGAAGAACAACAGAGGTTTGTCATCCCTGTCAATTATATCAATCATCCCCTGTTTTTGCAACTACTTAAAGAAGCAGAGAAAGAATTTGGATTCGATCATAAAGGACCAATTAATATCCCTTGTCATGTTGAACAATTCCGCTATGTTCAGGGATTGATTGCTAAGGAAAATCCGCATAATCATCATCATCAGCACCATCATCACCATTCATGGTGCTTCAAGGCCTAAACTTTTTTTTTTTTTTTCTATAGTTACATAATTTGGTAGTTTTTTTTTTTTGTTATTTTGGACTCGGAATTGTTAGTGCTTCGAAAGATGTAAATTTCTAGTTTTGGATCGAGTCCTTTTTGGGGTTTTTTTTAATGCTCTGTTCTGAGATGTTCATGTACCCAGAAGTGTGGTTAAAGAAGATGAACAAGTTGGAATAATATTCATAATACAGAATTATTCTTTTTCTTTTTCTGAATTTTTATTAAATCTATTATATTACAAAAAATATTATGGTTCTAACTATTTTAGTTATTTTAATTTCTGTTCTTTTATATAAGAATCTAGAGGAGTGTGTATGGCTTGAAATTCTCCTTTCTCTTTTTTCGGGATTCCCTCGTCACTCGGGAATTAGTAGATTAGCATTACATTTTTTTTCCATACTTTATTTTGATATTTTATTTAATTTGAGCGTGTGTAAAATAGAGTCAATCTACCTTTACTTTGTTATTGTATTTTTATTTCATACTTTATTTTATTTGAGCATTTATTGAAAATCATATTTTCTATCTCCATTATATTTTATTTATAAAATTCATTGAATATGTTATTGTTTCGATCTCGTAGGTGTTTAAGAATATTGATTATTGAGTGATTGATAAAAGATGCTTCTCCACAAAGAGGTTTTTAGTGGGAAGGGAAGGGAAGGGAAGGGAAGATAGGTCCCTGCCACCAGCGTATTGCAAATCTACTTTTGTCCCTTTCTTTAATGTCACAATTTGACATCACTAAAAATCTCCAAAAAATTATGGCCTTGGTTTGTTCATACTTTGTTTTCATATTTCTGTGGTTCCACTTTTGATTTCCTCTTTTGTTTGGGTTATGCAAATCCAAAATTCGAAGCTTCCTTTCTATTAGTGCATTTATCATGTAACGCTTTGTGAAGATTGTGTCTATGAATTCTTAAAGAAAATTTGTGGCTCGTGTATGAGTTAAAGATGTTGGAATTACGTGAACACTGTTGATAGAATTTACCTATCGTAAATGTTAAAGTGGGCTGCTTCGACAATTCATCAAAAGCTTGTTCCAAAAGCCCTCGTGAAAATTGGAATAGCACCAAGGTCCAGAGATATTTTATTTTTCTTCTTTGCTAGACGAAGGTTTAATTCATAACATATCTTCATTATTATGAATAATAATAGTTTATATCCAAATAGGTTGTGACCCTTAGATGCAGTGATACTACCACATCCCTGACTTATTTTATGTTACAAAATACGTAGTACTATTATATAGATACATAGTATTACTATATTATTTTAACATTGTTTTGAAAACGTGATTAATTCATTTATATATAAAGAATTTGCATCAATTCTTTGAAAACAAATATTCTTGAAGACTGTAGAGAAACCTACCATTTTCTTTATAAATTAAAGTGACTTCCATTTTTTATGTCTCACCATATATAGAGAGAGATTATTGCATGAATGAAAGACTAATTATTACTTCTTTGCTTAATGCTCCACTAACAAATGGTGTTTAATGGATTTCATAATTAATCATTATGTGAATAAGAAGACTAAATCAAATCATAGATCTCTCAGGAACCATGTAGGGGCCATGTGCTAGAATTTTTTCTTGGGCAAAGTTTGACATTAATCTTGAAAGAAGATGCTACATTTTCTCAAGTTGCCATAATGCCAAAAAAATGAACTGTAAGCAACTAATTTAGACTAAAAGCAAAATGGGATGGATTCTCTTCTGTTTTCCCTCACACATGGCATATTTTGGATGTCAAAAAAACATTTGACTTTGGAAATTTTTAATGTGCATTTTCTCAAAAATAAAAATAACAAAAATTGACTACTAATCATTTTGTGGCATGGCTTCCTTTAATGCAACTCCTCTACTCCAAAAGGTTTGACAATTTTTGCATCCATTTAGATTTATGATGTGTTCAGATCAATTTGTCTATATTTCGATTAATTATGCTATAAGGTCTTTGCTATCTTCCATCAATACAAATACCTAGTACGAACATGTTTAAAGACTAGGGAAGCCTCCATCAATACAAATACCTAGTACAAACATGTTTAAAGAATGGGGGAGCAGCACGGGCGGGGTGCTTCGTCCCCCATCCTGCATCTCCCTTCCGTCCCCAGCACGCGCTCGTGTACTCTTCGGGTGATTAATGAACCCCGATACGAAAATGCTAAGGAATACTAAATTGGTAATCTAATCCAACACCTCGTTCGTGGTGTGCGTGAGGACATGTGTTTTTTTAAACAAAGACTACTTTTAATAACGGATATTTCGACTCTCAAATCAATAAAAAAGATATAACGAATTATAACATTTGATGTGAATTTTTTATCTATTAAAATTTGAACAACCGAAAAAAAATCACCAATAGTACTTTTGTCTTAGCTAAAGACAAACTTTGATTACCAACGGAAAATATATTGTTTCATTATTGTTTATTTGAGAAACAGTAGAAAAATGATGTACTTTCTTTCTTTATTTATTTATTTCAACTTTTAAAGGCATGCTTCATATGAGGTAGTATAAATTTTAATTAATGCAAGTAGCTAAAATTGGATGAAACAGTGGAAGCATTCATTCCTGTCTTTACAACAGGTTGCATCTTACTATTATTATTTGTCCAAAGTGGAATATAATTCCCCTAATTGAAGGGAAAAAGTAGTGTCACCCAATCATATTCAGTTCCCTTACTTTAGACACCATTCTTTGTGCTTTCTCCTCATTTCTTGTATGTTTATTTATAATGTGTGGTTTACTTTTCATCTTCTCTAAAGGTTGGCTAAACTTCAACCCCTAAAAATCAATGTAAAAATACCTTTCTTTATCGGTAATAAATATACACATTAATAAAAAATATTAAAGTTTTTACTGATATGAGTTAATTATCATTGGATCTAATATCACTATAGGTATTAGGGACATTTACAAAGAATATTAATTACTGCTAAAATACATATTTAGCGGCAATAAAACTATTACCGCTAAAAATCATTTTTTGTGATATGAATACTACTCCCTCCTATACAAGTGGAACAAATTTGTCTTAAGAATTATTATTTCACCAAATTAAATGTTACATTATCTCACCTCTTAAGTAAGGTACTCAAGTTAATCCAAAAATTATACTCACATGACTACAATTTCAAGATAACTTAATAACTTAGTCCACGAATCAAACGACTTATAAGATTTGGCTCAAACTTCAAACCAAAAAAAAATAAAATACTATCATAAAATTTATATAAGAAAACTTCAACAACAATTATTTTATTTTTAAAAAAAAATGTGATAGTACATGTTTTTCCCATCTCCAATATTTTGTTTCTTTAGTTTTTCACATTCCACCCTCAGCTTGACAAAAATCAACAATTAGATCCTTCTTTCATGTACACTTTACATGCACATTCAAGCTTTAACATTCATATATACTATCGAGGAATGTGGTGAAATGATTAAAGTTTCTCCGTCTTTAATTATATATAAAATCTGAGTATGAAGTGATTTAACCACAATAAGGAGCTTACCAATGTGTATTCGAATTAGTCAGGCCAATATATTTTAGATATTAAATGAATAAACAAAAATGAAGAAGCCTCAAGCTTCATACGCTTGGACGGTTGTGTCGTTAGGAAAGAACCCATAATAGGTTGTTGTGAAACGGAATAAAATAACAGATATAAATATTATGTATGTGACAATTATATTTCTCAAATTCTTTTATCGTAATCGTACCCTAAATAATATATTAATTGATTATAAGATGAGATACGCTCCAAAGATCACAATTTTAAGACGGTCTGATTGGGATCGTTTGGTAGGCTGGACAAGCATAAATAATCCTCAATTAAAAATTAAATATTGCTTTATTCTTGTTTGGTTACTAATCTTGGAATTTGTGATTATAATTAGTATCGGAACTAGTTATTTGTATCTGAGATGGAATAACAGTCTTATATTAGTTATCCCGAGATAAAACAACAAAAATGATTAAAGTACCCCTAAGGTCCCAGCTTAAACCTTTTTTCTATTAAATGAGATGGAAGGAATTTTTTTTTAAACAAACAACTTCTTCTAAACACGATAACGTTAAACCAAACCATCAATAAAATAAATCAACCTTAACTAACCGCTTAGTATCTTTAAAAATAAGAACACAACACTATTCACTAGATGCTACTTGAGGAATCTATAGTGTTATCCAAAGACATTGTAATAAAGATTCCCATACGTATATTATTTTGAATTGAAAAAAGAATAGTTGGGAGTTCATACATGATACAATAATATTCAACATCGGTTATATGTCAATTGTTAGTTTGGCAGTAGTTGTTTTAAGTTGATGGGGGAAATTCAAATGTTGTTTTCCTATCCACCTGCCCCCTACCACAACAAAATGTTTACACACTTGTTACTTTGAACTATCAAAACCATTCGTCATCGAGAATAGAATAGTATAATATAGGAAGTTCTTTTATCCATATCGCTCCAATATAATTGGATTCCTGAACCGCTCAATCCAGAATTTTATTTATTTTACATCATTATCAAAAAAAAATCATATATTATTATTGTTGTTATAATTTATATATCAAATCTTTTTACCTAGGGCATTTTAAATCGGAAACAATTTGATCCCTACCTTCAAGATATGAGTAAGGTCTGCGTATACTCTATCTTTCGAGCCCTGTGGGATTACACTAGATTGTTATACAAAGATTTGAGTAGATAGACACACATATTAAGTGTTGTAGCTGTGATTGGAACCCAAAAATATCATGTTATTATTTGAGATTATCCACTTGATTGATGATCCCTTTAGGGACTTTTTTGTAGTGGATTATTGAGGAACAACATGGACTAATGCTTTGATTATAAACGTGGTGATAATGTTTGAAGATTAGTTAGGTAAGAAACCAATCTGGTCAATGACTGTTAAGAAGCATTTTAGCACTTAGCTAATGGACCATTTGCCAATTTTGTATGTTGCTTTAACAGCTATT